TCGAATTGCATGGAAGTGCGATGAAAATTGCCCAAATAGCTAAATTAAGAAAGAAAATTAGCAATTTCGTATTCGACCACTTTTCAGACAGCAATGGCAAAAAATGCGCGGACACATATAGCTATATGTGTGTAAACTAAAGTATTACTGCACATGCATTTATACAGGGTGTATCAAAATAAACGCAATTCATCTTTTGTGCTTAATAACTTTCGAAATACTATTTCTAGTTAAACGCTTTTAGGCTTACTTCAAAGCCTGTTCTTTTCTCTTTCAAACAAACTATTATCCTTGTCTCCAATGTTAGTAATAATTGCACAGGAAAAGATTTAGTAAAACCTATCATTTTTAGTTGCTGTTTAATTATGCAAGTTTACTGTGTTATTGTTTAGTCGGTTTAAATGTTAGAATTTTCTTCTTTAAACTTTAATGTTGTCGTCACTACATCTGGAAAACCACGTAAGAACAAATTAAAAGTATTTTAAAAGAGACCAGGTTGTTTGAAAATCTAAACGAATGCTAAAAATCGTCAAAACATTCTGGTGTCTGAGCCAGAGTGTCATCGAATTGCGATGTAATGTAAACAGAAATTATAACAAGCTGATGTCAGTCAGCTTAGATGGTCCAAGCCAAAATTATATCGCATTTGAAGTTTCAAACTGTGTTAAAAATAGTGGAAGAAAAGCCGTAATTATACTTATTGTTACAATCCATTTAATAAAATGCAACATTTGTTTGTTTTAATGAAAAATCAGTTATTTTCATGAGAACGATTTGTTATTCCATCTCAATTTTTTTAATCTCCAATCGCAATAACGTAAAGTATTATTACCCGCGAACCAATGAGTCAAATTTAAGAAACAACCCACTGTTAGAAAGCTGAATGGCTACGCTTTAAAATGAATGTAAACTTTAACGTTTTGGTCTATTATTTGTTTAGCAATTTACATTTCAGTCGAGGATTGCGCTTTTTTTGATACACCCTGTACATGTTGGCGTTTTGTCTCTCCTCGACAAAGTTTGTTTTGACATGCATTTCACACAGATTTCACCTACTCAATTGACAAGATTTCGACATAGAACAGGAAGGAGGGAGCAGTTAAAATTGCGTATATGGTGGGTGATGCAGGTATTTCTGTTTCCGCTAGCGCTGTTGGCCATAATTTTTGCTGGGATTGTAGTTTCTTCATGTAAATCATTAACAAATAATTACAATTAAATAGAACAAGACAGGAACGAACTAACAGCCATGCAAGTGTAAAATGTTGTGTTGATTGCATTGTTTACATAATCCCCAAATCAACGGCGGGGAGCGTAAACCCTCGGGGCGAGTGTTCTAAATCCGCCCGGCTATTTACACCCCGGGAAAGGAACGCATTAGCGAAGTCTGAAGTTCATTAAATAACGCGGGTGCATAGCTATCGTTCGCCGGTCTTGGGCGGTCGTCCTCACTGATGTAGCGGACTGTATAGAATATAGCGGACGGTGATTGGTCAAATTTGAAATTTGCATTCGAAGGACTGCATGACGACAGCCAAATAACAAACATTTCATATGGCTTTTGTGCAAAATTTTGTAAATTTGAGAAAAGGAAGCCCATAAACTTCTAAAAGAAAGGAGCAGAGTCTCCAACGTTAATGAAGGTAAGTTTGTTTTTAATATTGATGTATTGTTTGGTTTATAATTAATTGCTTTAAAAACTGATACGATCGTTGCGAATATAAGGGAAAAAAGCATATAGTTTCTGTGTATTTTTATTAATTACCCTATTTTATTGTATTAAAATCTTTAAATAAAGAGGAAAGCAAAGTTATTTTCATATCATCAGTTTATTTCAAACTCAATGTTTGCCGATAAATGGTAGTTTAGTATTAAGACCATTTTAAAACGTTTTGCGAAGCGTTTGTGGTTGAATTTTATAAATGGGAAATTGATCATTTTGTAATTAAAAGTGATATTTTTAGGGGATTTTTGAATTCTAAAACTATTCTTAATAAAATTATCGTGTACCATGACAACTACTTTATGTTTGGAAAACATAATGATTTTGTCAGGAAGGCGAGGGTTTCTGCATGCATGCATTTTCAAGTTAAATTCATGATATGATGCTTCAAAAAGATATGGACAGCGTGTTTCCTTTAGAAACTAGAGAGTGTTTCACTTTCAGTTATGTTTTTTGGTGTATAAACGCTATCATACATAATTTTTTTTTCGAACTGGTGTTTGAATTCGTGACTTGGACAAACGTACAGTATTGCATGATTCTTGTCACGAACACTATGAGGGTGATTCCACGTACCTTAACTGTGATAGATAAGGATATGTAACATGACACTGCCACTTAAGCAAATTTGCATATTTTCGGGCAACTTTTATGGCGTGCTAGCAAAAATATATACATGTGCGCGAACTAAGAAGGGAAACAAAAATACAGGAAAGCTAGGACGAATCTGATAATATTTTGTATGGTAAGTAATTTTAGATGTTGTCTTTACAATGAAAATAATGCCTTGTCATTTCGGTAGGAAATAAAAATATGTGAGCATGTATATTTTTGTTAATTCAAGCATGTATAAAGGGTGTTTTGCGCGTGCACTAAATCAACAAATATTCAAATGGCAAAGAGATTTGCTTCACCACATAACAATGTCAAACAAAGTTTGAAGGAGAATGACCGAACATCACTATCGATGTTAGATTTGTAAATGCTAAACCTTCAACTGGAAAGGACAGAAATTTGCCAATTTGGTATAGACGCCCAGTGTCTGGCAGTAACCTGAGTTGTGCAGTTTTTTAGCTTGGCTATACGTGTGTTATTGCCTATATTTGTTTCCCTTTTATGATGATTCATGCAGTAAGTACAGGATCGTGGATTCGTCATTATTTGCTCTTGTTACTCCATATTTACAGGTTGATAAATTGAAACCTCCATATTCAACCGTAAAAACTTGTCGTACCGGCAACATGGCTTTCATCCAGATAATTTACTTGTTTCTGTTCTATTTTTTAGCCTTTGGAAAGCCATGAAACGACAACGTTACGTATACGTAGCATCACTCTTGTAACTACCTTGCTGAATGTTGTGACATGTAAAGCATATATGTATAAAGCAAATGTCTTTACCATTTGAAAATTTATGGTGCATAATGCACTAATCATGTACGTCTGACATATTTTCTGCTTATATTTTCTGCCGATATGACCAAACATAATTTTCATTCGCTAGATGACAGTGACAGTATCTTAGACTACTTGCTATTCTAAAAATTATCAGATTCATCGTTTCTTTTAAGACTTCCGCCTTTTTGTGCGCGCACGTGTATTTTTACTAGCAGACTAGAAAAGTTGTTGGAAAATATGTAAATTTGTTAACGTTGCAGGTCATATTACTCATGGCAGTAATTGTGGATTTATTGTGCAAGTAATTCTAAGAGAGGGATTTTTTAAAGCGAAATTTGTGCCCCCTTTTTTTTTTCTCCCCAAAATCCAAGCAAACTAATTCTCAATCCGTATATGGTAAATGTATATATTTACAGCATAATTATTCTATATAGTTTAAGTATACTAACTGCTGAAATATTTGTTACAGCTGCGAAAAACAGGCAGGGTTTTATTTTATTCAGCGACTAATAAGTTCATAGGCTACACTACGTGTAGATACTGCTACAGAGATTTGCAGAGCACCTTGTCAACAAACTTCAATCATATGTCGAAATGCAAGCTGGCGGTGCTGATTTTTGTGTTTACTTCAGTCGTAGATACTAGCTCGCGGCAGATAAACACACGTTCGCATGCAATCGCAAGACTTCAAGGGAAATGGCAACATATTTTTTTATTTTCTCATTTGAAACAACTTTTAATACAATATATAGTACTCTTTTATTGTTTTTTCATACCTTGCTTATTTCTACAAATATTTTGATCGAAAAGAATGAAATGTCAGCCATCTTCAATCCTTGTAGACATGCATGCAACGCCACAACAGGACTCATTTAATATTTTTATCTATAGACAACAACCAATCATTTTTCACTAAAAACTATACTCTGTCTGCCCTTGGAGATATCAAGTGTTGGTTTGAAACGTTCATTGTGTCATTGTTTGAAATTTAATTATTGTCTAAGACGAAGTTAGCATGAATAGAACCTTATCTAGCATGAATAGAACTCTATTTCGCATATATAGCGCTTATCTGTTCACTGCGGAAATGCCTTTAGGACATATCTATAGACACAGTTCGTGACTAGTATGAACATTGTCAAAATCAATCGAACCGTGCTACAGTAAAAATCGCTACCGAAGTTCAAGGGACTTTATATTCTACCGTAATCATAATCGCTACAATTGGTACAAGTGTAAACCAAAGTACGTAAGTTTATAGTTATTGTTGTTATTATTTAGGTTTGTTATTGTTATCATGTGCATGCGTAAATCTATAGTTATATTAGTTCGTTATTAAGTTAGTTATTTCTTGCTGTCGCGTTTCAGTTCGAACCAACACAACACCAATACCTCACCACCTCAACACTACCATACTACAGTGTGAAAGTACAGAGTGAAACTACCGTGAATTAAAACTACAAAACGTATATCTTCGTCTACATTGTTTGTGATTCATTATCTAACAATTGATTTACCGTCAACTCGTCAAGCTAGTATAATTCAATCATTTCGTGACAACAACAGTCTATTCATTGTTTGACGTCAACTAAAGCTTTGTCCTTTTCATCTGTTGAGTTCGAAAATTCAATTGTACCATTCGCTACCCCTGTAACTCGTCGAGAATTTCTAATTTGGCAACGTAAGAGTTACATCAAGATCCACTCAAAACCCTTAAATCTCTATCAATACTTGGCCAGCAACGTAAACATTTCCTCAAGCAAACGGCGCGGAGCGCCTTTCCGGGCGTTAGCCCAGAGCGAGGGTACTTATTCCGCCCGGCTATATACACCCGGGGAAAAGGAAGCATTAGCGAAGTCAAAAGTTCATCAATGATTGCGGGCGTGGGTAACCAACTGTGGGTGGTCATCCTCACTGTTCTCAAAAATATGGCTGTTTGCCAGGAGTGGGATTGATAAGCAAGATTTCAATTTTCAAAAGCATATATTTGGAAAATCACGCTCCACACAATGAGCTTTGAAGTAATTTTGTCTGAAGAAATTGAGATGAGGCTAGGTTTATGATATATCATGCTCAGGTTGAAACAATGAAACACTCTATACTTTGCATCTTTATTTCAAGCCACAATTTTGTTGTAGAGCTTGCAGTTTTACTCTTTTTCTGCGCTAAATGATTAACACTTAACACATATACTAATTATTAATCAGTTTAATATTATTAAAGTGTGAAGTCTTTTATCCGTCCCGGCGTTAACCGTTTATTTGTCCTTTTCTCGTGTTGTTCAGTAATCATCTTTTGCAATATTTTACAATATCGCTATCTGCGCATTCTTTACGGCAACATTTATAATAAAGGGAGCCGCCATAGAAAACAAGATGGGCGTACTTCCCAGAAGATCTTTTGGTTTGTGATATTTCAGGTGCTGCTATGCTGTCGCTTGTCAGCGGTTCTAAAATGGAAGGAAAGAAAAAGGCATGATTGAAATACTGTCCGAAATACCGCGGATGTCAGCATCTCAAATAAATGACAAGAAACCAAAGTACCCTCCCCCCATATAATTTATATATATATATATATATATATATATATATATATATATATATATATATATATATATATATATATATATATATATATATATATATATATAGATATATAAAGTGCTCAATACTAAAAATATAGCAAAGCTTATTAAATTGTCTATATCTTAAAATTAAATATCGCTACTCTGAGTTTCACGTCTTTCTAGACGATCATCAGGCGATTTTGTTCACGATTTTTCACAGAGGAAGTATATACAGAGAGTTCACTCAAGCCAAAACAAGTCACGCGCACGATCGGCCATACTGCGCATGCGTAACCTCACAGCCAGTACCGTGAAATTTTTTGATAAGGAAATAGATGGGGAAATCCGAATTTTTGTCTTAAAAACAGCGATTTTAACGAAACAATCCAGATGATTTGCTGTTTCGTTTTAATTTCAAGAAAATGGGTCAGACTGGACATTTTTAACAACAAATGGGGCTACAAACACTACTTGAACGCTGCAAAAAGGGGAAATTATACTCGAAGGAGTGAAGTTCGAAACTTGTGTTGACAAGTCAAAAAGAGATCAAAAAGTTGTTCTACACGATGTTCTATACTCCAGCTGTGTCGTTTTTGCGGCAGAAAAGCTCAGAAGTTGTTCAGAATTGTCACTCCAGTATATTTCGTATCGTATAATGTTCAGGTAAGAGCATAATTCACTTTTTTCAACGAGAAAAAACTAGCAAAAAACAAGTCTCGACCAAAATGTCTCAGTCTTTGAGAGTTCGATACGTGTGTTGATCTGATTTAAATTGTGTATTTTGATTGTCAGGATATTAACCCATTAAGTACAAACTCAACTTGCCAAGCAGAGAGTCTTGCCACTGAAATATATTCCCGGCAAATAGTTTTGTTCGCTTTATAGGATATCACCATCTCTGGGCAGACCGCTCCTTCAACTTTCAAAATCAAATAAAAGTTTTTCAAAAGCTCAACCGTACTTCTTATGCGAATAGAAAAGATCACTTACTGTTATTGTTGAAACATTTTGTCCAGATATGAAGCTCGAAAGCCTCTTTTCCTTAAAAATGCCACTTTTTGCATTTCGAACTGCGTTTTCCCTATAGTTTTGACTGAAAACGCAGCGACGGTACTGGCTGCTGCATATTAAATTTTTTTGGAATATTTAATTTTCGCAAATCCGTGTGACGTCCTAAACACTGTATTTTTCACCGAGTGAACTCTCTTTATATCTTTACTCTTTGGCCAAAGGTGCCTTCGACTCGATCAAATTGACATTGCATTATTTAGCTCTCAGCTGCAAGTAAGCATTGTTGTAACACGCCCGCACTCGCTCACTTACAATCTTTATATTCAACAGGTATATTTATTCCGCTACAATTCGACTGGAAATTTCTAATAAATAAAATGTGATATAAAAATAGATCATCGAGCCTCCTTCACTTACTTTGCCGCCCAAATACACCGAATAAGTTACGTATTGAAAGACAAGAGTAAAACTGTTACATTGCATTTTATTGAAACATTAACAATTATCGTTAAAGGCAAGAAAAACAAAAAGAAATTATCGTTATTGTTAATTCATAAGATGTGGATATACATGGGGAAATATATTTTTACGATTAAATGCGAAGATATTAATTAATTACTTTGATAAAAGTTCGTAGCGGGCATTGCCACTCCTTCCTAGTTTTGTCCTACGTTTTGTCTTTGCATATTATATTTCGTTTTACGGTGGTATGTTCAGTGGCGGAAAGTCACCTATTTTGGGCAAAGTCTCCTGAATTTCTTACTCCCCTCATTTAAACTCAAATTTGAATTGTTTAATTAATTAATTAATTTCGGGATAAAATTTCCGACAAATCGTCTAAATTTTCGTAAAGGCAGGGGCCGCGGAACCGGATGGCAATGGAGGCATGTGCCTCCACTTTTTTAAAAGTAAAAAAGTGCCCTTTTTTCTGTGCTAAAGTGTCCCATTTAAAAGAACGAAAAAAGTATTCTTGAATAAACGCCCTGGAAAGAAGTGCCCTTTTTGCAGTAGTAAAGACTCGGTAAAGGCCGTTTCCGACGTGATATATAGGGACACCATATTTTCAAACATTTTCTTTCGGCTCGTGAACGACATAAAATCGATTGATTTTAGTCATATACAAAAGTGCCCCTTTTGGCCAATGCCCCTCCACTTTCGAAATGCTTCCGCGGCCTCTGCGTAAAGGTGGCGGGGCAATTGCCCCCCCCCCCCCCCCA